TTTTTTTTTTTTTTTTTTGAAAAATTCTGCACGATCTACACGATGTTTTAATAATATTCGTCTCTAAAACGGGCTAACGTATCGAAATTAGAGAACATTTTATATTTGAGATTCATCTGTGTTTAAAGAGTACTTAATTCAAAGGAGATTCGTGTCGCGGTCTTCATGTATTTCGATTAATTTTTTTAAACATGATGACGATAGTGATAGCGTCTGCTAAAATACAATCTTGCAATAGGAATTTGTAAATATATTTGCAATTTATTTTGTATTTTTCTGCGATAAAGCGAACGGGCGGAAGCTCGGTATTAATTTGAATTAAATAGTATTATAAAGAGGATTAAGTATACTATAACAATATCATGTTTAATAATAAATGCAATACTACTGCTGTATATCGTTACGAAATTAATGTAAGATAGAATGGAGATGCATTAAATTTTTAAAAAGAATAATACAGAAAGAGAGAGAAGTTGCTCGACGAACGTTCCTATCATTTCCATCTTTTCGCTATCCTGTAGTTCCCTTAAGAATTTTCCCAACCGACGGAAAATCGAACCGGGTCGGCCATAAACGCTCGTGTCGATGCGAAGCAAGGGAGGAAAAAAAAAACCGACAAATATCTCGTGAAAGAACTCGTATCGTCGTTGGCGCAGAGGAGGACACGAAAACGCGATTAGAGCGGAATGGAAACGACGGAAGCCCGAAATCTTTTTATTTCTACTCCTCCTCCCCCTCCTTTCTGTCGCGCGCGGCGCCGTCCGGAATGCAGGCTCGTGGTATGCAAATTTTTTGGCATGAGCGCACGAGCGTGTAATAATTTTATGGAAATCAGTAGTCCCGCCAAGTACTCGCACAGAGTTTCGCGCGCGAGCGACGCGACGCGAATCGAAAAACGTGGCAGGAGAAAAAAAAGCTCTCACTCTACTCTCCTGGTAGGTGACGCCTGTCCAGGTACGTTGGTATCGAGAAAAGACCGATGTTCGCGTGCTTATCCCGTATTCATCAGCGGTTCCGAGAACGAATTTTTTTTTTTCTGCTTCTTCCTCCCCTTTCTTTCATCCCCGGTCTCGTCGTTATGGTCTGCATAACGGCGCACCGGAATGCAACGGTCGCGACGGTAATATTCGGTTGCTGTATAGATGGTAATCAGCCTGGAAATGGGTAAAAGGGGTTGTTACGAGTGAATTAGCGGGTCCGCGAGCGCGTGCAACGTGTTCGAAATACGGTGCGATTCGTATATGTTCGATACGACAGATAAAAATCTAAAAAGTGGTTATTACTGCGTGTAACGAGAAGAATACGAGAGAAAATGTCAAGTAATTTCTTCCAAGTAATTTTTCTCGTTTTTTTTTTATCACGACTTAAATATGTAACGATATCGTTTTCCACGTCGATCGGTTATACCTCTGTCATTTTTCCATTTGACTACACAATTTTCTGATATTTCTATTACGTTTACTACTGCGTTACATTTCCCCCGGGATGAGTATCTTGTCGAGGAAAAATCGATGGAAGCAGGCGGCGCGCGGCGCGGCGTCACGGTTGATACGCTCTATTTCTAAGCGAGGCGGCCAACGATAATGACCACCTGGATATAGCCTCGGTCTCGGCGTAAATATTAGCAGTTGGGATTGCCGGTATCGTAATTAACTCGTCCGATCCGTTCAATTAAATACGAGGATGAAACGGGAGAGGAGTTTTTAGTGCCGCGCCTCGCCATCGCTCCTGTAACACGGAGGAAGAAAGGGAAGAGGGAAGAGCTCGGAAAAAGAAGAACCACCCCCGACTCGAGTATAACTCCCACGCCACGAAGAAGACTACGATGGAATCCAGATTGAGCAATGAAGAATTCATCTCTCGCTTCTTTCTTTATCTTCTCTTTTCTCGCTCTTTTTCCTTCTCTCACCTGTTTATTATCACATCTTATGTACATGACACTTTTATAAATATTTTTCTTTTTTTTCTTGTTTACTTAAATATTTCGTAATTATTCTTGCACTCTTGGATCTATTTTTTTGCTATATCTCTTGTTATTTTAGCGCTTGAAAGGATCTTTATATAAAGCGCGTGATAAATAAAGCTATTTATCTTTTTCTCTCTCTTTCATTTTCGCTGTATTGTAAAGCCGCTAATAGAAAAAGCAAATTTACCGATTCAGTCGGTGACGCTGAAGAAATCCGATCGTGAGAAGACCGGTAGATAGAGTAATGGGATGTGCACGGAGAAGACGAGTTCCTGAGAACTTGGCTCTCTCCGCCAGTAACGTCCATTTCGGTCATGCGGCCGTGTAGGAAATTCTGGTAAGGCCGACTTAAAAAGTTGTACCCCGCAGGATGGTCTCGGTCTTGAGTCAGTTCTCTCTTTCTTCCTGTTTGCTTCCGGTGCTTCCCGCGGATATTAAAACTTATCTGGGAAGCATATACATGTACGCACGCACACACACACGTGTATCCTAGATAAGACACGATGGAAGAAAGTTTCGAGAGAACGACTCGCGTTAACGAGTTGCTGGAAAAACACACGGATCGATATCGATTGCCGCGCACAAGAACCGAGTAATTTAGTTCGCTTAAGCGGGAAAGTATGTACCTCCACCCCCTCCCGCCGCGAAAATTCGCCAACTTCGGTGACTGCAGCAAACCTGCAGGAATTTAGCGCTAAATGCGAGTCCAAAACTCCAAGTACACGTCGGTCAAATGTTGGACAAATTTAACGCGGCGATCCGAGCGCGGTTCTTACCGTGTGGAATTCGTAACGAAGATCGAAGGCGAAATATGCGATGATAAAATCCGACGGTCGCGCATACATCGTGATACACACGTATATATATATATATACGCGCACGTGATGTATTCGGATATATATTTAAAATCGGAGGAAATCGTATTCCGTATTTCCATGTTTTGCTGAAAAGTAGGAAAAGCCCAGCGTGGCTTTTTATCCGTACGTTGTAATTTATATCATGTATTACCGGTATGCTCGGCCGTATTAAATATACGCGCGTATTAAACACGACCGGCATATTCCGCCCCGGAGAGAGAGAAAATGATATTAAAATAATTTCGTTGCGGATATATTCCCCGGCTAATTACACGCGGGACGCTTCTATCCTATCTACATAATGACATGCACAAAATGGAAATATCGAGCTGCTATGAAATCAATTATTGTTGATAATATTAATCACCAATTGTGCTCAACGTCACTATCCGCCTCCTGTCTTTGATGTAATTATTCGTGCGCGGTATTACACAATGTAGCACGCGGAACATTCCTTGAGGGAAATGTTGTGTATAATGAAACCTCCTACATTTAAGTAAATATAAGCTTCGAAGCAACGAAATATTACATAATTGTCGCAACATTTCGAGGCTACTTTAAATAATTATTATACCTATTCTCTCGTTATGTATGTTTCGTATATCTAGCGTTGTTAAATCCAGAATTGCCACAAAAGCAAGGAAACCAGGGAATTGTCCGGAAGATTGAAAATAGAAAGAAGTTAGAGAATTTTGCAAAATTTTCTACAAAATTATAATTCTCACTTTTAAGGAATAAGCTTATATTCTTATGCAATTTTGAAATACTATACCAGCTTGACAATTAAAAATGCAAATGATTCCCAAATTAAGACAAAGATATTTGAAAAAAATTTCAAAATATTATTGAAGGTAAAAAAAATACTGAAATTTTGTCTGGAAATGAGTAAAAAGTTACGAAACTTTTAGGATGAGGAATTTGTGACAGCCATGAAATAGCGAAATCTTTCGACGGTCATCGGCGGGCGACTTTGAAAATATGCAAACTTATCTGCACCAAACGAAAACACGTTTTGGCGATGGTGAATAAAACATCTTCCTATTTCGTATGCGCGTGCTCGCATATTCATCGTACATAAAACGTATTAGTCAGCAACAATAATTTTTTACTATTTGCATATACACATGCATCCGAAAACATGCGTCCGTTTGGCGTTAAAATACAGATAGTGAGACACAGTTTTCGCAAATTCGGCGCGATCGCCGAATCGAATTATTCGAGACGGTGAATTCCGATGTCCCGTTTACAATCGTCCTGATCAAACCCCTCCCCCTCCCCCCGCGCACCAAATAGCCACGTTTGTTACTAATTGCGCGCTTTGAACATACAGACGTACTCTTGCATTTCCGCATTCATTTACATTCGCGCGTCATTAATTTCGTGCAATGACAAACGTCAGCCATTGCCTCCTCGCGTAATGTCGATCGATTACAATATTTCATAGATTCTTCTATAGCGGTGAATGAAATTGGAAAACGCGCGAGCGGACCTTTTTGTGGCAATTTATCAAGAAATTGCGTTAACTTCACCAATCTGCACGCGACACTTTGCGACTTTTTATTTCACGGTAGTAGAGGTCAGCCATAAAAAGGACATGACGCGCTGCCCGCACGGGACGCTACGTATATTTCTCCATGCTCTCGAAAGCGGGGCACTTTGTCGCGAATGCAACTTGCCGCCGTGTAATACTAACCGCTGGTGTTTACCACAATGCCGTTATATTATATATAAGTCCCGTGAAAGCCGCGTGAACTTCCGCGAGACGTGCGCGGTGCGCGCTCGCATCATGCGGTACGGTGTGTTTTTAGGGGAGTTTGGCATTGGCAAACTCAATTCGAGTTTATGTTCCTTGTATGCAAAGTGCTCGCTGCGAAGTTACGATGCACGAAAATACGCCGTTATGAGTCCTAAAGCTATCCTTCTTCAGCTAAAATATACATACGCTCTTCGGGCGACACGTTCCGTCGTTTTTCCGCGCGCGTTAAGACGCGCGTCTTACATATATTGAACGCATCTCGAAATTTCGT